TACTGAGGGTGCACTCGATCCCTTCATCCAGATCATTGATAGAGATATTAAAGAGAACTGGCCCAAATACTGAGCCCTGGGGAACACCGCTCGTGACCAGTTGCCAACTCGACTTAGAATCGTAGAATCATAGAATCGTTTAGGTTGGAAAAGACCTTTAAGATCATCCAGTCCAACCATTAACCTACAACTTAACTCCTTTCACCACAATATAGGCTGCAGTTCTTCAAGAACTGCTCCAGTGTGGGTCCTTTCCATGAGACACAGTCCTTCAGGAACAGACTGTTCCATTGTTGCCCCCCACAGGATCCTGCCAGAAAACCTGCTCTGTGTGGGCTCCTCTCCACAGGCTGCAGTTCCTGCCAGGAGCCTGCTCCGGCATGGGCCCACCATGGGCTGTAGCTTCCTTCAGGGCATGTCCGCCTGCTCCGGTGTGGGGTCCTCCATGGACTGCAGTGTGGATATCTGCTTTGGAATGGTCCTCCATTGGCTGCGGGGGAACAACCTACTTCACCATGGGCTTTACCATGGGCTACAGGGGAATCTCTGCTCTGGCATCTGGAGCACCTCCTCCTCCTCCTCCTTCACTGACCTTGGTGTCTGCAGGGCTATTTCTCTCGCAGTTTCTCAATCCTCTCTTACAGCTGTTGCACAGCATTTTTTACCCTTTCTTAAATATGTTGTCACAGAGGTCCTACCAGTGTTGCTGATGGACTCAGCTTTGGCCAGCACCAAGTCCGTCTCAGAGCCAGCTGGAACTACTGTCGCTCTCTGACATGGGGGCAGCTTCTGGCAGCTTCTCGTAGAATCCACCTCTGCAGCCCCCCCCCCACCAAAAACTTGCCATATAAACCCAATACAGGTTCACACAAGCCCAGTGAACCAATAGGGCTACTTACATGTTTAAAGTTTGACTCTAGTGTGACCCCTGGTTTTGTCCGATCAGTACCAGAGTTCTCAATCCCTTGCAGGCTTGAGCCTCCTAAGAAAATGGTGCTTATAGTTCTTGTCTCTGGCAGTGTTCCATGTCAGACACCCTTTTACACTACTTCTCTCCCTGCAAAGGAACAAATTTATGAGAAAGAGGAAGAGGATTATTACAGTAGCTGTATCTCGCCAGTATCTCAGCACCACCAGTGTGTGGTGCTGTCCTCACGCCCCCCTCTTGCAACAAGAGCCACCATTTACTGTCACGCAGCAAGTACTCATTTTCCTTGTCTCAGTGCTTTCCCTCAGATGTCTTGAGGTTAGCTAAGACTGGAGTTCTCTCAGTGCATTAGTATTTGAAAGAAAATAGGGAGAAATATTGAGACAAAAAGTTGGTCATGTACCTAACCATAACCAGGTACTGCACTAGGAACACCTAGTAAACTCTTGTTGTATTAGTCATCTAAGCCAAAGAAAGAAAGCTTTTAAGGTGAGGCGATCAGGAATTTCTCAACCTCAAACTTTGTTTCCTTTTCCATCTCTCACTAGCTACATTTCTTTGATGTTTAAGATACAACCATGGTTTATTAGTTAGTGACTTCCTATGAAATGTAATACAAGGAGGTTGTTGGAACTCCTAAAGAGTGTAGAGCCCAAGTGTGTGTTTAAGCATATGCAGGATTGAGATTCTGATCTGTTAGTAGTTATTTCCCAACTATGGATAGAGGTTTTTGCAAGTCGTGAACAGTTGTTTTAAAGTTAATTGAGAATGCAATATAAAAGAACATTGCATATCCTCTGTCTTTGACTGTCACTGGCTTTGAAATGAACTTGTGATGATTCCTTGTTTGTGGATTTTTTTCTTTCAGATGGAGCAAACATGTGATGATATAGATGAAATGTTCAGCAATTTACTTGGGGAGATGGACATGCTGACCCAGGTAAATAATGCTTTTTTTCCATCAAGATTAGAAAAATAGCTATTGTGTGTTAGAGAAAATAGGCAACTTCTACACATTTTTCATGTACCTCCACTCTGAATAAATACAGATACATTATTCTGAAAAACCTTCAACTAAATTTCTCTGCTTGACATTTAAAACTAGTGGCCTGAAGAATAAGGTAATACCAGTGCAGGCTAGATTGTTAGAGAGCTAGCTGCTTATGAAACACATTTTCTCCAAATAAACAAATAAGCAATTTAAATTCCTATGGACTCAGTCCCAAGAAATGGAAAGATTATGTCAAAACAGGAAGAGTTTGAGTCAGAATTTTCAGGTATAAATGCTTTGCATACATGGGTAAATGGGATGTAGCCTGAGCGTCAAATGTAAACTTTGGAAATGAAAGCAACATTTTGAATATATGCATAAGAGTAATCTTTATATGTGGCTAAATACTGAGTTACAGCTAGGGTGTCATTCAAGAATTTACAGAGACACTATTGCCAGTGCACAATTCACTCTTGAGAGGAAACTATAAAACAGCATGAGCCTATTTCTAAACCTATAGTCATACTTCCTGCAAAACCTGATGAAAAGAGAATTTTTATTTCTAAAAAAAACCCACAAAGTCTATACAGTTGTTGTATGTATTTTAACAAATGCATGCTTGAAAAGACTTAAGCTGTCATCTTGGATTCTGTGTGAGTTTGATTGCTTACAGCCTCTGTTTTGAGGGGTCTTTCCTCTTGGTGAGTCCCGGTGCTTGCCAAATTAAATACCAATAATTCTGAGCCACAGAATAGGAATTATGCTTAAACTGTGTGAAAGCCAAGATTTCACATGACATTTTTATCTGTCAAATCACAGTACTTTGCCCCTTGGTAGCCTTTCTGCTTTTTAAGGGCTTTTTATAACCATGCATATTTATTTTATATATATCTGTATATAAAGAGGGAGGGGTTTAGGGTCATTTCATTTCATTATTATGCCTTGAAAATTAACAAAAGACAGCTTGTGATAAATTTTACCTCCTCAGATTGGACACAGCACTGTTATGAGTGCAGGTGATGGGAAGAGAGTAAGAGAGTGAGCCTCTTCTCTCTCCACTCATCAGTGCAGTACTGGGTGGAATGGGATGTGTTCCTAAGATGGAGACTGACTCCTCCTCCTCTCTAAAAGTGCTGGCATCACCTTTTACCTCAGCATTGTGTGGGAGAAGGAGACAGGCATGTCTGAAAGCCTGAAGACTTTCAGTTAACAGACTTGCATTTGTTAATTCCTCTAGACTCTTAATTTCCAAAATGAGACTGTAGATAGTTTTTCACCCTTTTTCACCTATCTGTCTGTTCCTAAAGTAAGTGTAAATGATAGAAGTACACAGAGATGCCTTCACATTGCATAACAAGGCTGAAAAATAAATGCAAATTCAGAATTGGGCTTTTCTGCTGTTTCTATGTACTTCACTTCAAACTTTTTTTTAGCATTTCAATTGTTGTCTCTTTAATTTCCTTTTGCATGTACTTTCATTTTTTTCCTGCATTTTTATGGCCATTATGACATGTTACAACTTCTTGTTAGATCAGTAATGAAAGTATTTCCTTTATGCTCTTACAGTCTGTTTCATGAACACATTTTGTGCCCTCCCTTTTTCTCTTTTTTTTTTTTTTGTCTTGGGCACTATAAAACTATCTCATGTGCTTCATTTCTCCCTCTTCCCCTATTTATACCATGTCTATTTTTTATACAGAGTGAGTATTAACACAGAAACAATGTTTAACGGTATCACTGCTTTGGTTTCCAGCTCTGTATAGCTTCAGAAGAAACCAACATGTCCTGGGTGGGAAATAGGTGAAAAGAACTGCCAAGAAAAACATTTGCATTAACTTTCATGGAAAATGCCTGTCAGTTTCAGGCAACTCTAAGAAATGTAAATGCCTCTGGTACAAACTGAATATGAGCACCAGTAGACAAACATTTCGCAGGGATGTATGAACAAGGGTATAGCTTGTAGTATATACGTAGTATCCTTCCATTCTGCACAGTATTGGTAAGACCTCAACAGGGAAACTGCGTCCAGTGTTAGCACTGCATTTTGAGGAGGAGGAGGGCCGACTGGAGAAAATCCAGATGAAAGCAATGGAAATGACAAGAAGGAAAATGGTTGGACTGGATGATCTTAAAGGTCTTTTCCAACCTAAACGATTCTATGAAAAGAAACGTGACCTATAAGAACAGATTGCACGAGGTTGTTTAGTGTAGTGAAGAGGAGACTGATAACAATAGTGAAGAGGAGACTGATAACAAGGCAGCATCAGAGCAGAAAGAAGTACTTGGTTCCTTATGTCCATGGAGAGTAGGGCAACAGGGAATGGTCTTCAGCTGCAGCAAAGGAAGTTCAGGATAGGCATCACAGGAAAGGTTTGATGGCAGGAATAGTGATCTCAATAGTGAAGCAGTGGAACAGATTGCCAGAGGTGATGATGGAATTTGTCTAATAGGAAGCTTTTAAAATCAGGTTAGGTATACATTTTTCAGGTATGACCCAGGTATAACTGACTTGCCTTAGGACAGGTGCATGGTCCAGACAGACCCTTGAAATTCCTTCCAGTCTTGTCTACAGTGTTTGCTTATTAGAGGTATCACCTTCCTCACTGTGGAAGGGAGAATGTATCTTGTTCTATCTCCACTGTATGCACTTTTCCTAACTTGTGAAGTACCGGTTCCCTGCGTGCTTCCTAAACAACAAGCCACAAACTAAGAATTCTCTATTTAACTGTGTAGATTTGCAGTTTACATTGCAGACAGCAGCATGTTTTGTTGTTTGTTGTGTTTGGTTTGTTTTTTTTGTTTTTTCAAACAGCATGAGAAAGCAACAGCTAGGTTACATTTATATTAGTAAATAAGGCACTCTGGAACAAATGTCACTCTGTAGCTCAAATGTGTACACAGCTAAACTCTTTTAACACCCTCCTCCCACCCTCCTTAAAAAAACCACTAAAACCTAAAAATCAATCTGGCTTTATCCACTGTCTCTGTTAGAAACAGCCCTAGCCTCTGCTGTTCCCCACACCAGGCCTGGGTGTTGCCTAACAAGAGTTCCAGTTGGCATGGGTCAACATTGTATTGAGAAGCATGCAAACCATTAAACGCTTGGCATGATTGTGAGACAGTGCTTGAACCTGGCCCTATTTAGTTTACCAGTATAGGCATAATCCCAGAAACTAGTGTGTGTCATTCTGTTCATTGAAGAAGAATCAATTTCATTAGAAAAATCCAGGTAATTGATTTACAAATGTTAATATCTGTAATAGTAATTATGTCATCAGATACCTGTTGTTTTTCTTCTACCTTAACAGAGTTTAGGAGTGGAGACTGTACAACCTCCATCCCCCAAAGTGTCCAACAACGAATTCAGCTTTACAGTTGGTTTTAAAGATTTAAATGGTAAGTAGCTGAATGTACTCTTTCATGCTTTTTATGCTTATATTTTTATACTCATTTAAAACACCTCACAGCAACAAATGAAAAGAAAAACTTCAAACACCCTTGATAAAAAAGAAGAAAAAGGAAAAACCCCCAAAAAACGGTTTGCTGGAGGGGGAGGTATGTTTGTGTGTCTCAATTTAGGAAACTTCAAAGGGGTGAAATTTTTTTTAAAGGGACATTGCTCAGTCTTATATAGGAGTCAGACTTTTTAAAATGTCTGAGTGTAGAGGAAAACAAAAATGAGAAGTCCCCCAAATAACTTTCTAAAATGCAACCTTCTTTATGTAAAGATTTAACTTAATAGAAGACGAAGTTCCTCAGTGTGAGGTCAGAGCTGCATAAGCATTTTTATCCAGTGGAAGTATCGGCTTCAACTGCTTCCACTTTACATTGCTTATTCTCATTCTGGTCTGCACTGTCACTTTTCTATGTACTGCTGCTTGTTGAGGCTCTGTGATGAACCGAATAAGGGAATTTATCCAAGTTTAAAAAAAGAACCCTCCCTTTAGTGTTGTTTGTGTTTTGTTTTTTTTTTTTTTTTCTTTTTACGGGGAGCTGGTTGTTTGCATTTGCCAGAGTTGGTTTTAACCTGTGTTTTTGTCCCAGAATCAGTTCACTATTAAGCTACCTAATGCCTCTACCAGCAAAGTGGGTAGAGGTATTTAAATAGAGAGAATCATAAGCCAACTTTCCCACTGAAAAGAAAATCTTATGAAAATACTCTATTAGCATAACAGGTAAAGCAGAATAAAGTGAGACAGTCTAGTGACATGTTCACACTTAGTCTGATGAATGTTCTATTCTTTGTTGGACTATACTAGCATTTTTGAGCTCTCCATCCCTTTCCAAAATCCCACTTAAAGCTTTCCCATTTTGTGATTTTTTTTTTTTTTAACTAGACTCTTCAAAGAGGTTTAAACCACTGAGTCTGTTGGTTCTTAAAGAACCCTTCTCTTCTAGAAAGCTAAATCATGATACACGATGTTATTCCGCAGGTTCTCTTATACTGTGGCTAGTTCAAACAACCAAAGAAGAAATTGTATATGAAGTTCCAGTGTAGGATTTTATCTTATACTCTGACAGGGTAGAAGACAGAACGCAAAAGTTACAGTATTTCTATCTAGTTGATAGGATGCTTTTGAAAAGAGACTGTCTTGTTTGTTCTTTGCATAAAGAATCCTCAAACCCCTGCATATTACCTGAGGTATGTCACAGATGTTGATCACACAATTACTGATGTGCTACAAATGGTACCATACAATTTCTTGTGTCTTAGAACTCTTCTGAGTTCTGCTTCATGTTAATTTTAGAGTTGTAGACTAGTAGTAATATATGAAGATATTCTTGATCTAGGCCTCAGTAACATGGTTTGTTGTGTGCTATACTGAAACTTGCTAAGCATTTATGTATGTACTTAACTTAAGTAAGCAGGCTAATGGGAGATAGTGGAATTTCTTGCATCCATATCACTAATCAACCAGAAACCTTGCTGGATGAGGGCCAGGTTTCATAACATCATAAGGACCTGAGACTGTATCACTGAAAGTGAAGCTTCCTGTGTATTCATAGAGTTCCTTGTACTCTGAACTTCAGTATGACCAGATTAATGGCTGTTCCTAAAACACATTTGTTTCTTGAACCCATTTAAAATGTTGTTTCCTTTTCCATAACGTTTATATCTTACAGTAACCATGCCTTCTGCAATTTAATCTCCACTGAACTGGAAACAGTGTTTTGCATTGCACTCACTCTGACACATTTTGTGGTTTTCTTTACAGAATCCCTAAGTGCTCTAGAGGACAAAGACCTGGATGCTTTAATGGCTGATCTTGTAGCAGACTTAAATGATGTTGAACAGCAAACTTTACAAGTGCAGAAAACAACTTCTGGCAACCATCAAAGTACAGTCACTCAGCCTTCAACAGGCTTGGATAGTGACATTTATTCTAAAGCAAGTCCCTATGTTACCATTACTGGACGGTTTGGGGACGACTTGCCCCCTCCACCTCCAGACCCTGGTTTAGACCTACCACCACCGCCACCACCACCTCCACCTGAGCCACTCACCCAGGTAAGCCTGGGTGGAACCTTGTTCTAAGTGTTCGATAGTTCTTGTAATTTTGCAAGTGGTATTTGGCATTGGAACAACAGTGGATATCGCAGGTAGAAACATCTTGCAATGATGAAACATGCATGAACTGTGGAGTGAGAGTTTTCTTTTATTGTGGGCTCAGCAATTTCTGCCTGTTCCTTGACCTATTGCCCATTTCTTCGCCTTCCTAATCATCATTTTGATAGCCCAAGACAGGCATAAATCATTGTAAATGGTTTACGGTAACTGAAAACTTGTCACTGAATTTTTTTAATAAGCGCTGATCAGTTAATACCTTCTCATAGAGAACTTGGCTTTGGCATCAGTGCAAAGCATGGCCAAAGATTCCACCATTTTGTGAAGATGTCACTGCGTTTGTTCATTGCAGCCTGTGTTATTGGTACTGATGAGACAGTGCTGTGGATGTTTCCCAGATCCATCCCTGGCCTAACTGATTTCTTGCCATAGGAAAAGCTATTCAGTTGTGTGAAACTCGGCATTTGCTAGGAGACTGGGTGCAAGGCTGAGCACAAGAAGTACCTCTGCTAATCCCAACACAGAATCACTCTGCTCTTCTTGGTCTTGCCTTTGAAGGGAAGTAATGAAGACCATCTGCAATATGGGACAAATGCTTTTTACTTAGGAGGTGCCAAAGTTATCAGTAGGTACTATTTATAAACAATTGCCTTACCTGTACACTGGAATTTCAGACTTAGCACATGTTTGTGTTTCTTGCAGAGCTGTCTTAACAACTGAAATCAAATGTGATATTTCTAGTAGAAGCATTTGAAGTTCATTTCTTTGACATGAGGTTGTGGAGAGGGAGATAATGTAAGAATTCTGCCCTGTGACAGCCTTATAGGGAGAGTACGTGCATTAGAAGAGTGATGCAGCCCAAAAAACATGAATCTGAAATGATGAAAGATCTAAAAGTATCTCTTTCAGTATTCATATGCATAGTCGCTATGACTGAGAGAAGGTGTTTACATTTAGGGAATGGAAAGATGTTAGGGAATGTGAAAAGTGCTCTGTCAGCCCATGTGGAACTGCACTGGTCAGTTTTGCTTAAAACCATAGGCAATTCATTGCAGATTAAAAGTCCACACAAACTGAATATGAATCACCTCAACATCACTGCTGCCCCTGTGTTTAGCATCATACAGCAGACATATTTAGCAAAAGGAACAGAAAATTTGGTAGGAAGAGGACTTTTCTGATTATACAAATAGTGATTCACTGGACAAAGCTTCATTTGGTGCATAGGACCTTTCAGTGCTGTTTGAACAGTGAAAGTTGTAAACATGTGGGAGGAACCACCATTTTTCTGTATCTCAAAGATAATAGTTAACTTCCTATCTTAGAGGAATATCAATGTTTGCAAAAACAGCAGCTAGACAGCTTCAGAAGCTGAAGTATTTTATTTAACTAGTATAATTGATATAGAAGAGATGCTGTCAAGGTAAGTTCTATCCATTGTCCTACAAACATGTCCCCATCTTGATTTAGACTCATGACCTTTAAGGAAGTACCAAGCTTCTAAATAGTCTGGGTTGGAAACTCAGGAAGTATGGTCTGGAAGGGTAGCTGGTTAGGTGGGCTGAGATTGGCCAAACTGCCAGACTCAAGGGGTAGTAGTCAATGGTTTGCCTGCTGGTAACAAGCGGGATCAACGTTGGGGCTTGTATTCTTCAACATTTTCATCTGTGACCTGAGTGATGACAAAAAAAATCATCTGCAGATGTGCTGAACGTGCTTTTAAGTAAGGGCACTGACTGACAAGATGAGTGGCAGAACTTCAGTGCAGGGGGACCTTGAGAAACGTGAGGACTGGGCCAGCAAAACCCTCAGAAACCCAGCAAGGTACAAGGTCCTGCACCTGGAGTGGAATAACCCCATGCATTTGCACAGTTTGGGAGGCGACAGGCTGAGCAGCAGCCCTCCTGAAAAGGAGATGGCATCCTGGTGGATGCCACATGGAATAAGAACCGTGAGTCCAAGGTCATCTCAGTACGGGAAACTGGCCTGTGTTTGGAAGAGCATGGCCAGCAGGCTGAGGGAGCCATTATTCCTTTCTCTTGGCACTGGTGAGGCCACACCTGGAATACTGCACCTTGTTCTGGATGTGGAGATACTGGAGTGTCCAGCAGAGAGCTACTGGGATGGCCAGGGGCCAGCGAGGACAGGCTGAGGGAGCTGGGCTTGTTTAGTCTGACAGAGGAGGCTGGGGAGTGATCTAATGACAGCCTAAAAATACCTAAAACTGAAGGGTAGCTGCAAAGCTGGTGGAACCGAATTCTCTGTGGTAGTGTTAGGTCATATAACAAGGGGCAACAGCTACATGTTGTAGCTTTGTAATTTCAGACAGGACATTAGGAAAACCTTTTCCATTTCAGGCAGTCGTGTAGCGCTGGAACAGGTGACCCAGAGAGATCACAAATTCTCTTTCTTTGGAGGTTTTCCAAACTTTGCCAGGCAAAATCGTGACTGACCTGATCTAGTGTTGGTGACAGTCTTGCTTTGGGCAGGAAGCCAGACTACAGACCTCTCTCCCAACCAGCGCTTTTATGATCCTGTGATCTAAAGCTCACTGAAATCAACAGTGCTGTACAGTTCTTTCCCTTGAGTCTTGTACTGAGCTAATTCTGTTAGCTGGCATCCTGCATTACCTGAGGGTCAAACAAGATTTCAGAGTGAAAAGAGGATATATTTGCTAAACACAACTGGAATTCTGTATGCAAAAAGGTAGCTGGAAGTCACTTCTGTCTCCCTCAATTAAAGTGTTCCTTTGAGATTGTGTGCTGAGTTAAATTTCCAGCAGTGTTCTCTGGTCTCTTTCCAGATACAGGGAGAGGGCAGAGAAGGATGGGAACAGGAGGTAGAGGCATTTCTAAGGAATCTGTCTGCAGTAGTTTTCCTCATTAAGGCACTGGTTCTGCTTTCTCCCACAGCCCTTGTCTTATTTTCTGATACAGGTTGTATTCAAATACTGATGGCATACCCATTGTGTGGCTCACTGTGAACAAATTGCCTATAGGGCTATTACACAAGTTGCAGTGTGAATGATGGAGGTAATAACCATTTAAAATTAATATGGAAAGAAATTATTTCAAATTAGTATTTACTGTCTTGGTTAGTATTTGCTTTGACATGACATTTCTGCTCGGTAGAATGAAATGCAGCTGTAAATGGAGTGTATTTTGTTTCATCAAAATCCACATTCCTGTTAGCCAGGATTCTTCATAAATGATTCTTGAGCCAATCAAGGCTGACGTTTTAACACTTCTGGTTGTCTGTAGTCAAATAAGAATAGTGTTAATTATTCCCAATGCACCTGCGATACTAAGACTCTATTCTCTAACCTTTAAGTGTGCCAAAATTAAGAAGTACAGCCTTTCTTTGAGGGAAGCATAGAGCTTTCTCGTAAGTTCCCATCGACTCTGGCATTTCTTTTTAAAACTGTCCTTAAGCTAAATAAGTCTACTACATTTTCTATGACATTATCTGGATGACTTTTATGTGCTCCTGTTTGAAGATCCAGAAAACGTGGTGATGATACTGTAGTGGGAAAACAAATCTTTTAGCCTGTCAAAGCATTTCTTTAACAGTGCTAAAATTTGGCATCTGATAGCTTATTTACTTTGCATCATTTCCTTTTTCTACATTAAGACACAGGTTATGAAAACATGAAGGCTCTCAGGTGAGAGCTCTGTTGCACAGGCTTGTACAATGTGCGAACTCTGTTCAACACGGGTCACATGCAGGTGAAGCCCAGGTTATACCTGCCTAAAATTTTCAGCGGAAAGCCTGCCTGCACCACACTCAACCACTTTGGTTAAAGTGCTTTTCCTGCTTCCCAAACAGGGGTGTTTTGAGATGGTAAGGGGAGGGCCATAGTGTGAGAGGCTGCATGCTCTTCCTTCTGTAGAACAGTCAGCCTTACTGCAAAAGCCACTTTTGTCCAATAGCTGCTGTTCAGCTACAAAAGCTGTTTTTGGATTCTTGAAGTTAAGCATCTCTGAGCTGTAGCAATGCAAATTTCCATACCTGTGGAATAAAAAAAAGACATTTTTTAACTGATTGCCTGGTATTTATAGTGGAGAATTTGACAACAGCAAACATGTTTGAAGCCATCTCTTTCAGGTTGCACACCTCACCTTGTATTTTTGACATCCTAAAGTATGCTAGTATCCAGGGGAAGCAGTGATAGAACAAAAGATGTCTAGTTCAGCAAGAGTGATATCAGTCAGGAGTACTTTAGTTAAGGTTGAACCTGCCTCAAACCTTGGGATGAATAAGATAACCTTCTCAGCTCCTTTTTTTGCTATGAATCTATGATATCCCTTTAAGAAGGAGGTGGTGGCAATGCTTAGTTAGGTCTAGTTTCTTGCAAGTGCCAAAGACCACTAAAATTACGACTTCAGGGTAGAAAATGGAGGCTGAAGGTAACACAGAGAAAAATCTTCTGTGGAAGCAGGGCAGGAACTTTCTCCCACAGTCGTTGACTGAAGTTGGATGTGCCTGTGAGTACCATAGCACGAAATCCTACCCCTTTAAAACAAAGGAAACTGCAGAAGTGAGAGAGCGCAACAGGGACAGTGAAAATCAGCAGAGAGGCAAGAAAGCAAAGACAAGACAGTTTTCGGTAGGGGTGGTGTCGTGGTTTAACCCCAACTGGTAACTAAGCATTACACAGCTACTTGCTCACCCTCCCCCCCCGCCCCAGTAGGGTGGGGGAGAGAATTGGAAGAGCAAAAGTTAGAAAACTTGTGGGTTGAGATGAGAACAGTTTAACAATTGAAATAAAATAAAATAATAACAATTGTAATGATAACAATTATAATGATAGCAATAATAACGATAACAATGATGATGATGATAATATAATAAAAAAATGTAGTGAAAAGGAAAACAACAGAAAGAGGAACAAAACCCAGGAAAAACAACTGCTCACCACCCACTGACTGATGCCCAACCTGTCCCCAAGCAGCAATCGCTGCCCGTGGCCAACTCCCCCCAGTTTATATGCTGAGCATGACGTCATATGGTATGGAATAGCCCTTTGGCCAGTTTGGGTCAGCTGTCCTGGCTGTGCCCCCTCCCAGCTTCTTGTGCACCTGGCAGAGCATGGGAAGCTGAAAACATCATTGACTAGCGTAAGCAGTACTTAGCAACAGCTTAGCAACATCAGTGTATTATCAGCATTATTCTCATATCCAAAACACAGCACAGTCCAGCTACTAGGAATAAAATTAACTCTATCCCAGCTGAAACCAGGACAGGAGAGCAAGGATTTAAAGTGGGAAGGAAACCAAAACCTCCAGTAGTACTAACAGTGCAAGGCAGCCCCAGGAACCACGGTTACTTGCTGTCCGAAATGTACTTTTCCAACTCTGTGTGTGACTCGGGGAGACTACTGGAAGATAGATGGCAAAAAGAAGTGGTCGCAATGTATACACCAGTCACAGAGGCAACAGTAGGCACTGGCATCTGGTACGTGTACCTAAAACTCTCAGCAGCTGGGGGTCCAGAGTCTTCTTGGATCACAAACCTCACTGATATTAAGAGAGAGTCTTGATATTGATACAGCTGCTTCGTAAAAGAAGAGCCGGGTGATACTGGGATTTTTAGGAACCTTACTGTGGCATTCAGCAAAAGCTGGAATGAACTTGAGTGCTCTAACTGTGCCTGTGTTAATATGAATAGGTCCGTTACTAGAATAAAAAGCTATGGTATCATCCAATTTAAGGAGGTGTTTCTCTCAGTAAGTATGTGTGCAGTAAGAGCTTGTATGTGGCAAGTGAAAGAATTCAAGTAAATTAATGTACTTAACAGAAAGTGTAAAATTTTAGGTGGTATAATTGCAAGCCAAGTTTTCAGTAAGGTCCTAAAAACTCTAATTCTCTTAACCCTAATGAGAGGTGAGTTTTCTTCCAAGCGGCTGCATCCACAGTGCTGTTTCATTCAGGCTATATGTTCCTTCATCTTCTCTCTTCTACCAGCTGTACCCCATATCAAAATGTAGA